CTTGATATGGTGGCCACCCCCCCTCCCCACCCCAACTACATTTTCACCGAAATATCTTTTCTCATATATTTTGTTTTCTGATGACTTTCCTGCTGCGTTTCTCTAACGCGCTTACCTGCTTTTTGGTTTTGAACGTGATGGGATCCCATAGCGAGAGTGTTCCATTTGAATCACCCGTGATCACGTCGCCCGTCTCCGAGAAACACATTGAGAGAAGTGTTTTCGGCTTATCTCTGCCCTGAAGTATAGATAATGAAAGAAGATGACATTCAGAGAAGGACAGTCAACAGTGTGATAAAGAGGTAGCTGACTCGGGTTGGTCATCGAAAACCACCTCAAAAATGGCCACGTTCTTCGTGAGCGTCTCATTCTTCGCGTCGAATTGCCAAAATGAGAAGTGTCCTCGGCCACACATCACGATTAGATTCCTTACCAATGGATGCCAGCTAACCGCGAAGATTTGGTCATTCGCGCCCTGAAAGTAGTTGAAGCACCTAAGTATTACTGTGGCGAAAGTAAAGCTACGGCCAATGAAAATAAAGTTAAACTGAGTATTTCCCTTTGTTTTGAACTCACCTTGGCCTCAGCTAATTTGACCTCATCAGACCATTTCCATACTGATAATAAGTGTGTATAGGATTCATCGGTGCAAGCAAGTAGATTTCCACCTGAGAAAATTCGGTCTTGTAGATTCCCTTCTCACAATCAAAAAAGTAACCCGACAATGTCAAATAGAGTATATTTTTCTCTGAAAACTTGCCATCAGTATTCGAAAACGAAAGCGCTGCGATCGACTTCTCGAACATTGCTTTGGAACCACCCAGTACATGCAAAGTTGCCAATGTGACGCTGTCCCAAATCCGAACATGTGCCTGAAAATTCAAATAACAGAAGCGGCATGCACCATTGACGGAAAAGTTCAAAGAAGGCGAAGGATGGTGTACCCTATCGAACATTGTCTCTCAGATCGTGGGCAGGCTAGCTATGAACCCCTACTCAAGACCTTTGCTAAGCAGTGATGTCCAAGAGGCAGGGGTCAGTCATTGTCGCAGCAACTATGCCTTAGTGGCTCTCGTTGAATTGAAAATGAATGATGATTAACCCAGTCACCTACATGACTTATTGGAAAACAGGCCTGTGTTGGTCAAATAACGAAGGGCTCATTCCCAATGAAGCGAAATGTTTGTCCCCCACCCAACTGTCGCTACGACCACTCCATAGGCTGGTCACACGAGCACACTTTTCACTAATCACGCCTTCCCCTCTATCTTTCACCCCACACCCCACCCTAATCCCGAGAGGCCCTCAGTCCTTCCCACCCTTCTGCGTGTTTGCTAAGGAACCAAAACATGCTTTAGACCTTAACTTGATCATAGAAGGTTTGTACAGAAGGAGTGTCCACGAGAAAAGTTTCAACGCAGGATGGAAGCCAAGTGTTCTCAAGTACTTGAAATGTTCCAGTAAAAAAAGATGTTGACAATGAGGGCTTCGAGCTCTCAAGCTTACAGCTATCGATGTACCTCTTGGCAATAGTCCCGTTTTTCCAAAAACTATGTTGTTGCAATTACAAGCTGACCTCGGTGTGGTTATTTTCGAGTTCATTCTTAATTTCTTGTGGCGTGGCTACTGAGTCGCGTAGACCGAATTCCGGCCGCCGGTCTCGTCGATGGCAGGTGGTCTGACCGCTGGCGACGATTACTCGATTCGGATGGATACAAATGCTTCAATTGAATTCTATTTTGAAAAGTTGACGACTTCCTTTCAGTCATCGAAAAAGGCATGAAAATAGAAGATAGAAGGGGAAAAAGGAAAGTAAAAGTAAAAAAATGACACAAAAGGAACTTCTGTTGATGAATTATCTCCTACCATTTGACATCACTCGTATGGCCAGTGTAATGTCGTTGATGTTGCTCNTATTCTTTTATAACTCTTTCAAACTACGGTAGAACGTTTCGAAAAAGGAAATTTGCAAAGCTCACCGTATGCCCATTCAATTTGAGGAGGTGGGCAATCAGGAGGTGGTTGCTCAGCGGCTGGATCTATATTCTCTATAGATTCCGGTACAGGAACTGCCACCGACCGCCCTGCCACTTGTAATTGAAGCACATGTGATGATGCATTGAATATCGGCTCTCGAGTATTGCACCTAAAAGTCGTTGTTGTGAAAAGCTCGGCTAATTCAGTCTGAAAGACACTGAATAGCTTTAACTCCAGCAACTAGAGAAAAAAGGGCAGGTCCCATAAAAACGTCGGTCCTTCGTACGCTTCTCAATATCATTCTACTGCGATTCAATTCATGGGTGCATCCCCTTGAGCCTTTCGACTCCACTAGCGTAAACCAGTCAATTGATCAAGAGTCTTTCTCGATGGCATACCAGCATGCAGAATTGCCCGGAGTACTGACATACGAGAAATGCGCCAAAAAATGCAAAATATTCCTGGTGATAAGGTAATGTCTGTTCATTCACTGCGAACATAACACTAAAACTAGAAGTGGGCCAATGTTTTTGTTGGTGAAGCAAATTGAATTAGTTTTCTGTTACTTAGGTGGTATATGTCTTCCACACTGGATCACCACCGAATGGACTCCCACTGAACCTTGTTCTCACGGTGCCCGTTCTGTTTCATCCAGGAAATTCCACTTCTAGCCATGAAACGAGAAATTCCAGAGAGGAGAACAAGGTTCGGAAAAGTCATTAATGCTGATTCTAAGTGAGTGCAAGTGAAAAAACATGTCGTCTCCTCTATTTCTAACGTGGGTTCCCTTGTTGTGGTTTACGAGACCTATTCAGATATCTGTAGGTTTACTTGGGCTAACTGAAGTCTGAAATGGTGCATGAGTTGGATGAATCTCGAATTCCTTTTGGCTTCCAGGTCCTGACGAAGGCGGTAACGCCGAAACGTTGACTGAATAAAGTGCTGTACCATCTTGGCTGAGGCTATACCACACACCTTCATACCGGAACTCACACGATGCCAAGATTCATAGAAAGTCGTTCATGGTGAAAAAACATGCTTTGAATTCTTTCATAAACTTATAAAAAACAATGAAGCACTGCTCCAAACTTACACGGAATTGGAATGATTCCTCGATGGACTGTTCAGGGTGCAAACGGATGCAGCTCGACTGAAATGTTGCTGCACAACACGACAATATCACCATCACAAACAACGAATTCATGCAATTGTTTGTTCATTAGCATTTCATAGGATTTAGGAAGGTCAGAGAGGCACGGCACAGTCTAATCAATTAAGAAATCTGTCCCTGATTGGTATGTTCTTAACTTAAACAACAAAATGTTTATAAAACGCAGTGGGCCCGACTGTGGTCGGAAGCCTGTCGACTACGAAAAAGCACAGCAATTTGTCAGTAGTCCGCTAAGTACGACTTTTAATGTCTTGAAATGTGGGAAACTGAGAAAAACCAAATAGAAAAAAAGTTCCGCGTTCACGTCACAAAACACAAAACAAGTTGTTGAGTAGACTCCTTACTTTGCTTACTATGCCCGCTTTATCTCCCTCGAAGGAGTTATCCTGGAGTAGTAATTTCCGTCCCAACTGTAAAAGGTGCTAGCGGCGGTGCTTCAAAAGCCCTTCCCTTTATCAGGTCTTTTATGGTTTCAAACTTGGGAGTCATCCGAAAAGGGAAGGGACAATGAAGAAAGGTCGATCAAATTAGGGGCCCAATTAGAAATACCGTTCCAAAGTGTACAAACTTACGAAACACTTCTAGATACGGTCCATGATGACAGATTGCGTGAAGGCGAACACACTGATGGGGTGGTCCGTCCACTTACAGAGAGATCTCCCAGAGGAGCGCCTGATGTGGGTGAGCCTTTTACATTTTGATGTGACATCCACTTACGTAACGGTGAACCTAAACGAATTTTCTTTTGACGATGACATGAAAATTATCATGGGATAAATAAAATTCGTGCAGGGTTAGGTTTGGACATTCTTTTCAGATTCATCCCTACCGTGAATTTCAAATGACTAGTAGTATCACTCATTAAGGGAGAGGTTGGAGAGGATCGTAGAGTTTCAAGCTCTCATCTCCAGTCACCGAATCCTGCAGAAACTTACTCTGCTTGGAGGTGAGGAGACGCGATTGGCTGGTTGAGATACTGGTAAATTGGAATTCGAATTGGAATTCGTCGGCCAATTGGCCGTGCTCGGTTTCGGGCGGCGTTGCTCTTATCCCAACCGAGAAGCTCCGCCGATTCCTTGCTCGCATCCGGCCTATTCGTTCCTTCGCCGAGAAGTCAGACAACATCGTGAGCAACCAGTCATTCGGGCAAAATCATCGTTTGGTGTCGTATCTTTGGAGTGAAAGCAGGCGAATAAACGACTGACGGTCCCTTGGCTAACGTTGCCCACTCCGAATGCAGTGTTGGCGTTGGAGCCAGCGAAACGAGCGCTGGTCGTGACGCCATTCATAGAAGAGTAGTGCTCGAAGTCGACTCTCGACAATCCCGATATGGTTTACGAGAGAAGAGCTTAAAGACCTACTAATATCCCGTTGGAGAATTTTGAGATCCAGCTTACAGACTCTGGAGATGGCTATTTTGCCGAAACGTTAGCCGTTAATGAAGTGAAGCCGTTACCAATCTCGAAGGCTAAGTCAACTAACAACACTAACTTTTATCATGCCGGATTAACGGAGAGCCGTTCATAGAACTATGAGATTGTTCTGTATGTGATGTTTTGAGGGTGATACGAAAGTACTTATAAAGACACGACGATACATTAAAAATTGTGTCTTAATACTCGATGTTTTGTTAACTACTGTTACATCGTCGCAGTACACGATGTAAGTTTCACAAGGATGGCGATTTGTTGGCAAAGCTTCGGCATCGGACGGGAATCGAACAGGTACTTGTGTTTTCCGGACTTCCTGCTCTTTATCCCTTACTATGTGTCTCGACTTCCGCATCAATCCAATATTATCGACTATGTATGTAGTATAAGTACAGCTCGAAAACTACTGCTGTCTGCCGCTCCAAATCTGTGTCGATAAGCCGATTTCGCAAGAAGATAAAATGAAGATAACAAAATGAACCATTACGCTACCCCAAGAAGAAGTGCAGTACCTCTCGAGCTCTTCCCAACTGATACATTGACTATGGCTGCCGACGTTTGTCTTTTCAGTGACGCAGGAGATACCTGAGGTCCTGGATTCTATAAATAGATTTCTGGCTTCCAAACTTGTAAAATTTCATAACGGCTCAATGTTACCTCATCAATGCATGCTTCCCTGGAATTATGAACGTGGAGACTCCGTGATAGGCCATTTCTGGATGGACTAGCTGTCTTGGCGATGTTGTAAGAAGATTGTGAGATATTTCGTGGTGGCAGGCGGGCCGTCACCTTTGGTGATGCTGGAATAAACAATTCGATGCTCACGATCTGAGATGGAATGTAGTGGAGATCGAACAGTTTTTTTTTTGCTGAAATGTCAGTGGCTTCGAAAAATAAGGCAGCCAGTACAGTAGCGTTCAAAAGTCTTCGGCCAAACTCTCTTACGCTTTTTCGTTCATAACTTTTTTTTGTGGAGCAAATCGCGCAAAATTTTGTTGAATTTAACTATAGCATATTTCACACTATCCAACGCTACTTGACTGCAAAGCAGCAATATCTACGTAACTAATGGAAAGTGTTTTTTTGCGGTAGCAGATTTCGATAAAAGCAAAGTTATTGACGTCTGCAGTTATTCGCACCTTATGTGCGTTTTCCTTCTCTTCTGTGTCCGGCATTAGCGCTCGTACACTTTGACATGGCAAAAAGAAAAGAAGTTTCATTCGTATTCCTAGTTGATTTTGAGTTCGAGCTCTTTGGGATATTTGGATATTTACCACTATTAAAGTAAATTGTACTTCAATAGTGGCAAATATCCACAATACACACATGCACCACAATATATCGAAATTTCGCATGATTAGATCCAGAAGGAAAGGAGTTACGGCTGAAAAGTACGACTGTAGGTCGATCAACTTGAACTGGTAACTTAGGGAGGCCCTTTGCGTCGCTCAAACAGTATGATTTGAGAAAAATGCGGTACGAGAATTCGGGCATTGAAAGTACCCTTTGAACTAGGGCTGCCGATACCATTGTTCGCGGGTGATGACGATATCTCAAGTTTGGCCATTCGTCGCAGTAGGTCCGCCGATGTGGTTTGCAGAAGCATCTGAAATTCTTTAAATCAAATTTTTCAAAAAAGTTTTTCCCTGTAGGAACATTCCCTGTATTATATTCAGGAGTACTAGGTAACTGTTGATGTTGATTACAATTTACCACTACTACACCTTGGATGGCGGGACTTCTCCCAGAATTCCCACGGCAGGCGGCAGTTGTTCAGCGGCAGCTACAGTATCCGTCCATTTATAGGGCGCGACTGCGCGCGATCAGGTGCGACAAGCGCTACTCGGTTTTTGGGTACAAGTACCCATACTCCTACACCTTCAGTCCTTTTATGATGAAATGACAGTGGGCAAAAGGGGCAAGCGACTGAGTGAAATGGGCAAGCGACTGAGGGTAGGCTACTGAAGGACCTATGAGGAGTTCACCCGACTGACTCAAGTGGAGGTATGACTACTTAGGGCTTGAACTATAACCGTTGTTATAATGATAGGCAGAACAATAAAAAACAAGTCTGAGAAATAAAATCTGCCGCAATGATGACTGGCATGTTGGAACTGAGAAAGGATGGAATGTGCACATGCGCAATGTTTAGAAGGTTTAATGAGCTTTTGGCTGTGGGCCATTGCATTTGTTAATGCTCCGTTAGGGCATAAAATGTTGAAAGCGCGACAGATTCACTCTCACTAACCAAGCATGAACTGAAAAAGAAGAAATGGGTTAAATTGAGTTGCATATCTTTGTAGTTAATAAAAAAAATAATAAAAAATAGTCTCTTGTTTGTAGAAACTGACCAGTTCACTTTGCTGCCTGTCCACGATTTTCTCCAACTCCGTCACTCGGACTCTCAAAGATTCATTTTCAGCGCGCAGAAGGTCATCTAAATAGGAAGGCAATTTCAAAAAAATATCGTTCATGTGCAGCTTCTTTTACTGTATTAAACGAAGTTGCGTTGGTTTTTTCAGGTGTAATTTTATTCATGGCAACCCAGAATTCAGACGTTATTTTATACCGTATATATTTTATTTTATTTTACCGCAATAATAAATTTATTGCTTGCACTACAAAGTATTTTCAAAATTCGAAATATTCCAGTAAATTAGAAACCCGAAATACTTAATGAAACTTTTCTCGACCACTACGAATTGAGAGCATGTAAACGAGATGCAACAGACTACAAAAAGGCTCATTTTTATCTTAAAAGTCTATGAAAATTTCCTGAAAGCGTATTCTAAAGTGAATTCCAACATTCTGATGTCATAGTGAAATAAAACGTATGAGTTTCCATTTCAAGTTTGGTATTGGATGATTCCCCTACATACAGTACCTGCGAGCTTTTGACGAACCTATTTCGCCGGTAAAGGAAATTGAAATAAAAAATAGAGGAGGTTTTTCGAATCGAAGCATTTAAAGCCAGGATACAAATACAAGGTTTAGTGGAAGGGCAACCAAAAGAAGTGATAGTCTGTTCTCAGGAGATGATAGTCTACTTTCAGGAGAGTGATCCCTAAAATCTATCATACCACCTAGTCTTCTCTGCGAATTATGAGGACCGAAAACATGCATGGCAGTCAAATGGAAGGAATGTTCAGCTACTGCTTTAATTGACTGCCTCTTCAATTGCTATGAAATATCGCTATACGTTCCAGAAAGCAGTTTTAGAACGTTCAGGTTCAAACTTTGAGAAAAAACAATAAAAAAGCTCAAAGGATTGACGTGAATCAGCTCGAAGATTCGCTATAAAAATTTACCTACGGTTTCTTCCCATATAGGTTCGAATGCAGTTAAATACATTGATTTCAGATGAAGGGTTGCGGTAGAGGGCTCTTTATGGCTAATGAATATCAGAACACAAGCTTAGATAGGAATACCATGCGTTACGCTGTGCTAACACAACACAAAAAATAGTCGGCAAATATGACTTTTTCGGTGTTCTCCTGCAGTGGCACTCAGAAGGACTTGCAGCCATCTGAATTTCTTAGTCGAAATTTTTAAGACTTTTTTTGAGGCTATCATGACCTCAGAACTATACGAACTATGAGCTCCGATTCGATTGAACATAAAGGTCTGGGAGGATGCCACTAGTCTTGGAAAGCTGCACATCTGCTTGGACTTCTATGAACGGCCTACATTTCAGTACTTGTATTTGCCTACGAAAACAGCTATATTGCATAACCAACTCGACAGATGCCTCAGGAAGTATGTGATCAAACTTTTCATCCTCAAATACGGTCGGAACGTTGACTATCTCGAAGTGTATTTTTTGATTCACTCAAATTCAGAGTTGTATGACAACACTTACTGTATTGATTGCGATCGCTGATGGTTGACGGTCGTGCCGTGTAGAATCCTTTCCCCAAGTCCATGTACGGGCTGTACATTCTGGTGAAAAATGTGGAAAGGATCGATCGATAGAGAAAAATCAATATCATCAATAAGACGACGAGGACCAACCAAAGCATTGAGAAGCGAGTGAATCACAAGACAAATACAACAACGGGGTTCATAAAAGGATTTATGGCGGAATCAAGCCAAAAGAGCATTTCTTGAACTGCTTGGATGCTCGATCATGGAAAAAAGGCGGGTTTCCAGCAAAGCATTAAGCAACCTTTGCTGCTGAGGTCAGGAGGGTCGAGGCGACGATTCCATTGTTCAGGTTATTGGACCACCGGCAAAAAGTACACCGCGAGTTATACAAAACGAATGATATTATTGGGTTTCTTTGCCACGTTTTGTCATCCAAACCTATAATGATTATGATTGCGACTGCGAGATTCCAATGACCTCTCGATACCCGCCCAAAGAAGCAGAGCGTGGTCAGCTCACGAAGACCTTCTTCCTGTAGCCGAACGAATTTCTGAGAGGAAGCAGTTGACAAAAGGTTTTGAAGAGCTTTTGATCTCATCCACTATGCTCGAAACTGCTCCTCTAGGAATAGTGAGCGCTGCTATGATTTTTTAGGGATTATTGGAATTTGTACGCTACTGGGCCAAAAACTATCACTTCTTGATGAGAACGTCGTCATGCACTATACAAAGCCAACTTCATATTGGTTCATATTGGTGGGTTGTGATTGGACTGAGTAAAAGAGGGTAGGGTGAAGGGCATTAGCTTAGCCAGTCAAGAGAAGCCATCACACAAGCATATTCCTGGATAGTTTCAAATGTCACTGCCTCTGAATTCGTTGATTGATTGCGCTGACTGGGCACCTGGCTTATATCCAGAAGTGGTATCTCTCTCTGCGATATTCGCATCAGGATATAAATAAATACTGTGTTTATAGTTTATAAAAGTAAAAATGAACAAGACATCCAGCTGCAGCACTCCTACCCTATATCCAGCTGAACAGCAGTTACGATAGAAAGAAAACTTTTGAAGTCGGTAAAAGAAAGTTTGATCTCATAACTACAGTAGAATTAAAGCAGACAAGAAAGAAGTTTTCAATATGATTGTTGGGGTACAGGTTGTCTCAAGCATTTTAAAGTGCATTCTCTAGCAGGTGAACAATTCGTCTGAAACGAGGCTTCGGTATTCAGCACAGGTGCGGCATAATCGGACGGATTGAGACGAAAGCCGATTGTACGTTGGCTTACCACTTTAGGGACCCTGAATTCCTTGGAAAAGGCACCGGCAGATTCGTCCCAATGCTAGTTCCTTGGCCATGAAAAACGGTTTGTACGAAGCTTACTGGAATCGGGAATTTCTGGCCGATAAAATGTGACACAACCACAACTCCAACAATCTGTGCCTTTTACGAACTGGATCCGAGTAATGGCAAAGATGATATTCACGATTCGTGTGAACTTTGAGAGGTAACAGAAAAAATTGCATCTTCTCTGAGGCTATCGTCAGTGCCAAGACTGGGTTCTGAAGAACAGCTAAAAGGTTTTACATCAAAATTGGTCGAGCAGAATCACATGAAAAAGGTGAGAGACACTGACAGCGTTTACATTGTCGACCAACATCTCACGACAACTCGAAAATCCAGAAACCCACCTTTCTGGTACAGGCCCGGGCACCCATCTGGTCAACAGCTTTAGAATGAGGTAGATTATAGAGCTGTTAACCAAGTCGAGAACGCGTTACTCTACTTTCAATCAAAGGTTCAACCCTACTGATGTTGTTACTTTTGATGAAAAAATGTAAAGTCGATGCTGTTCAAGGTCCTTCTTCTCCAATGCTAGTTCAGAGGAAAAGAACGTTATTGATAACGTCGGCTAGCTATATAATCGGTACTTTGAATATAGCGCTAGAAAAGTCTAGAGTTCATCTTCCACCAGGAGTTATCCTTTGATAAGCCGTTACGCTTGCATTTAATAGCGCAACTATCAAACAATCACCAACTAAAGTTCGAGTTTGCGAACAATAAGCCGAGAATTGGAAAAAGGAGAAGTAGCAGCTCTGGCAAAGGTTGTCGAGGGTGTTAAGGGCATCCCAGAACTCTACGGATTCGCAATTCAAAAAGTTGGGATGTTGTGCCCTCGGTGTCTTTACAAAACACGGAATCCTTAAGACTAATTGGAAGGACTATTCATGACTTCCGCTCCAAGAGCCATGCCCTAACGCCTGCAAACCATTTTTGGCGGTATGAAAAAGTTGACCCTTTATATATCTCTTACGAGGGTCCCTGTTATTTCGTCGGTGAACACCTTAACAGCATGCGGTCATAACAGCACTGGACTGGAACTTCTAAATTGTCATTCGCCAAGTTCCGCCAGAAGCCCGGCCGGCTCTTCATGTCATAGTCAGAGTGCAGAATTTACATTCGAAGAAAAATCAGTAAGACAGCGCTGCTGTAAAAGAAATAAGGCCTAGGCGGCTCAGGCAAATATCGTCATTNTAACAGCATGCGGTCATAACAGCACTGGACTGGAACTTCTAAATTGTCATTCGCCGAGTTCCGCCAGAAGCCCAGCCGGCTCTTCAGTCAGAATGCAGAATTTACATTCGAAGAAAAATCAGTAAGACAGCGCTGCTGTAAAAGAAATAAGGCCTAGGCGGCTCAGGCAAATAACGTCAGTATATTCACTCTCTGGAGTCTAATGGCTCTCAACATCAGCTGTGCTTCACATACAGGCGAGCAAGCGAGGTTAAGATGGAGTTTCGGTAAGTTTGATGATATCTTCACGAACACGAGACTCGGCGACTCATGCAGCTTTGCGTAAGTGGGAATCAGGCTCCTCTTCTTGCTTACAATGCATGTCATCATAAAAGAACTCATAGTTCGACCTCTAAAGACCATGCTCTACGCTGACGACATCGCTCAATCGCGGTATTAGTTGACCACAAAATCATACGACAAGCGAGGCTACGGAGTTTGAAGCTCAAGGTAAGGGAACACGAAGAGTCCCAAAGAAGATTTAACGGGACGTGATCAAGAAGGTCCTCGCAAGAGCTAAGCAGACAGAAGATGCCCAAGATGAAAAGAAGAGAAGGCTGATGGCCGCCCACGATCTAGTTGTATGTAACACCTCCTCATAGAAAAATTAGTTTAGAAGAACTACCGCGGAGGAAGACAACCCCCCCCCCATGAGATGTTCCACCTGTTGTGTAATTACGTTCACTGGACTCACCATAAAACTGGGGGGAGGAGGGTGGGGAGGTCTACAGGGAATGCCATCTTCATAACCAAACAAGTTCTGAGGCGGTTTCGAAAGAAGCGTAGATCCTTTCTCGATCTGGAGAAAGCATTAGCCATCTACAGTGACCAGTTGTTTGCACAGAATTCCCATAACGAAACGTTTCAGGGCCATGATTTCCATGATGAACATGCAAGACGGGCACATGTGCATCTCACGGTCTGACTTAATAGTCGTGACGTTTGGGATACACCAAAGAGTCAGCTTCGAGACTGTTATTCTTCCTATTTACCCATTGTAGATAGACCCTTGGAGGGGGCGTTGAAGGATACCTTTATGGTGACGATATTGCTGTGATAACAGAGGGATGGAAAGATCTACAGTACAAACTGCAGAAATGAAAGGGTGGAAAAAGGGCTAAAGGACTCAGCAAGGAATAGACCAAGTTTCTCAGCCCCGATGAGTGCGCAGAGCTAGTCGTGGGCTGCTTTGGGGAATGCATCGGAAGTGTCCAAAACTTCCGGCACCTGGAAAGTGGTCTAACTGCCGACAGTAGTGTGAATCAGACAGTCAAGGTTCGAAGGAAGGTCGTATGGATGAAACGTCTGCCACTGACGAAGTACTAAGTTGCTTCGCTATGACAGAAATGACCCGGGTGAAGTGGAATTATATTTTCGTTCTGTGGTTCAGGCAGAATGTGGGCTTTGCTTTTTGGAGTATTAGCGGACAAAAAATATACTTGATAAAGAAATTTGGGAACGTGCAGGGTTCCCAAAAACGAAAGTGGCGTAAATCAGTAAAATCAGATTTCGAAACACACAGAAGTACAGACACAATTGATTGTTATTATGGCCGCTCCGTGGTTCAGGCAGAAAAAGCTCCCGCAAATCATTCGCTTTGTGTAATCAGGCCCAGAATCAATGCAGAAAAACTGCCCGAAAGCCCTTCTACGAATGCCAGGATTAGAGAGATGCAAACAAAATGGAAAGTGAAATTGGGTGTTGAAGACATACGACGAAATAAACGAGCAGTGCAAGAAAGCGGACGACAGGCTGAAATAATTGGCCTCCATTTAGGTAACGAGCAACTCTCAAAAAGTTGGACTATATGAGTGAGGAAAACAGTAATTCAGCTTCGAACATGCGGAAGGAAGCGATTGCTCAGTGATTTTCGATTATCTGAAGTAGATGGGTGATAAGCGGAAGTTTGCCAGATTATTCACTTAAAGGCACAGTTCACGATAATTTTGAGGTTCCGTCTTTAGAATAAAAAGCGAAAGTGTTAATTTAGAGTAAAGAAAGAAAACGGTGGCGAAGAAAGAGATCCGCCTAAATACTTCAGGGCTTTCCAAAAGTAGTGGATGTTTAGGCTGTACGGGATCACCGTGGCGGAAATGGCAAGTAAGGGGTGTTCGAAGAAGATTTAACTCACTCCTGTTGCTCAAAGAGATGACTATATCAAGCCGAAACTGTCCGGAACTGCCTTTCACTATCGCCGTGGGTTATGACAATTTGCTTGAACTCCCTACATTGGTTCCCTTGTGAATGATGGAGCCTCTACAAAGCCGTTGAAACTCGTCCACGACGGGTGTGGCATTCACACGATACAATTTCTGGCCCCTTATTCTGCCTTATGAATGACGTTCTTCGACGGCATTGGCAGATAACTTATAAGGGGAAGCCTCGAATTCATAACACAGGGGAATCTCAGAGACTAATTTTATCGTGAACTGTGCCTTTAAGGTGGTTGGCTGTTTTATGACGAAGCTATTCCGAAGAGGAGTGCTTTCTTTTGAAATAAGT